ATGACACTTTTACAAGTTAAGCCAACATGCTCAACAAAACAAAACTAGCGCAGCCGTTTATGTGAGTTACTAGTTTATTGTCCAAGCAGGGAAATGTGTTTTCGCAGCTGTACAAAAGCAACACCATTTCACAGGACACGCATCAGTCAAACAACACAACACAACAATAAAAGTGTCATACTCCACCTGAACAGAATAGGAATACGTGAGTCCTGCACAGTCGTCGGGAGGGCATAAGGGTGAAATCAGGGTGCAGTGGGTGAGTTTGGTCCTGTGTTCATGAATGTGTGTTATGGTTTTTACGTTGTGTGGCTGTTGGTTATTTGAGTGAAAAATGTTCCTGTTTTTGTGAGTGAGCTCAGTCGTAAAACAGGACGAACAGAACAGGAGAACGGGCAGATGAAGTACACGTGGAGAAACATGGAGTACTTTTAAGATTTTATCGTCAAGATCAAACAAATAGTTCCAGAGCATAATGCGTCTAAAGTTTGGATTACTAAACGTGGCTAAAAGTAGAATTCAGGTACAATTTAGACTTCATTTATTAAGAAAACACAAGTTATGAAATGGAAAAGAGGTTTTATTAGGCCTGTTTCCATGTAAATATTGTTACTTATGATATTTCATATTATGGCATAAAATGTGTCTGTCTCCATGGAGAATGTTCCAAAGTATGGTTTTAACTTTCTGTTTGAATTGAACCTTGTAAATCAAGGGCCCCTAACCCCAGGCCGTGGACTGGTACCAGGCTGTGGGTTGTTTAGTACCGGGCCTCAAATTTGCAATCCCCCCGTCCCATATGTCACGTGGATTATGTCTTTACGCATACGCTACGTGGACAGTGCCTCCTCCCATATGTCGTGGGCCGAGCCTCTAAACCATACCTAAACCAGGTCTAAACCAGGTCTAAATCATGACAAAACCAGGTCTAAACCAGGTCTAAACCAGCTCTAATTCAGGACTAAACCAGCTCTAAATCAGGACTAAACCGAGTCTAAACCAGCTCTAAATCAGGACTAAACCAGGTCTAAACCAGCTCTAAATCAGGACTAAACCAGAACTAAACCAGCTCTAAATCAGGACTAAACCAGAACTAAACCAGCTCTAAATCAGGACTAAACCAGGACTAAACCAGCTCTAAATCAGGACTAAACCAGGTCTAAACCAGCTCTAAATCAGGACTAAACCAGAACTAAACCAGCTCTAAATCAGGACTAAACCAGAACTAAACCAGCTCTAAATCAGGACTAAACCAGCTTTAAATCAGGACTAAACCAGGTCTAAACCAGCTCTAAATCAGGACTAAACCAGGTCTAAACCAGCTCTAAATCAGGACTAAACCAGGTCTAAACCAGCTCTAAATCAGGACTAAACCAGCTCTAAATCAGGACTAAACCAGGACTAAACCAGCTCTAAATCAGGACTAAACCAGGTCTAAACCAGCTCTAAACCAGGTCTAAACCAGGACTAAACCAGGACTAAACCAGCTCTAAACCAGAACTAAACCAGGACTAAACCAGGACTAAACCAGCTCTAGACCAGGTTTAAAACAGAAGGCACAGCGCCTCCTCCCATATGCTCACTCCCCACCAGTCTGCGAAATATTGTTGGATATAAAACCAGGTCCGTGGCGCAAAAAAGTTTGGGAACAACTGATGTAAGTGACGTGTGACCTCCAGAAAGTTATAACCTTTAATAGAACAATGCAACTTTACTATAATAAAGTTACAAAAAACAACAAAAACAAAATCTGACATGGCAGGTGTGATGGACGGTGGAGTTTCCAGACGTCCAGGCTGGTGCACACTTCTACAACTACACATTACATAAAAGCTCACCCCCGACTGTGTCCCTGTCAGATGTTCTGTTTCTATTCCATTATTATTCTCATTTGTGCCTCATTCACACACACAAACGCACACACACACTGCCCGCTTTTGTGATGACTTGTTTTAATTGCAGCTTTAATTATGTGTTAACAACCGCGTACCCGATTTTTACAAGTGTGAACAACAGAGCGAGTTCATTTAAAACCGTCCGCTCGGTCCAAAGTTATTCCTCACTTAGCTCACTTACGCATTCCAATCATTCAGTTTATAAGCACTTTCACAGCATGCTAACAGCGCCCTTCCTGCTTCTTAGAGAACAGATTGCTTTAATATGCAGAAAGGACACAGAGGTCTCGTTTGGACTCCAGGAGCTGCTTTTTTAATAAACCTGTTCAGGAGTAAAACAGCTATTTTACTGGGAAAAAAAAGAAAGAAATAAAAATGGGTAATGTTCCTTTAAGGGTTTTAATATTTTAGATCTGGGATGAGCAATTATTTTTTCCATTATGTTATAAAAAGCTGTAAACCATGAAGCCTGTTTAGTATTAGTTTAGACCTTGTTTGGACCTGGTTTAGACCTGATTTAGTCCAAGTTTAGACCTGGTTTAGTTCTGGTATAGTTCTGGTTTAGTTCTGGTTTAGACCTAGTTTAGACCTGGTTTAGACCTGGTTTAGACCTGGTTTAGTTCTGGTTTAGACCTAGTTTAGACCTGGTTTAGTCTGGGTTTAGACCTGGTTTAGTTTCTGTTTAGACCTTGTTTAGTTCTGGTTTAGACCTGGTTTAGACCTGGTTTAGTCCAGGTTTAGACCTTGTTTAGTTCTGGTTTAGAACTGATTTAGACTGTGGGTTTAGACCTGGTTTAGACCCAGTTTAGTTCTGGTTTAGACCTGATTGAGACCTGGTTTAGTTCTGATTTAGTGAGGCTGCCTCACAAAAAATGTCATTTTAAAGAACACCTCTAAAATAAAATAATAATAATAACAGACGATGGAAAAAGCCCAGGTCTGTTTTAAATAATTTAACCAATTTTCAAGGGGAGACTTTACATGCAAAACATTTTTATTCATTTTTTTTTTTCTGTTTGTTTGATTTTGTGTGTTCTTTGGCCAGTTTGGTCTCTTAGCATCACTTGGGAACAACAACATACCACTCTGCACGGAAAGATGTTTTAATATTTAATTTTATTGATCTTGCAACCATAGAGTTTTATGGGACATTGTAAATCATATAAACCATTGTATAGAATGATGATGATTGATGTATTTTTTATATGTATATATAATTCCAAGTCTGATTTATTAGGCAAAAAATTAGCAAATTTTACTAAATACTAAATAGCATATCTAAAATTCCCTCTGTGTATTTTTTGTATCTGATACGACAACAAAAAGAAGCATGGTTCTGTTTTGAATGTCCCAAAAATGGTAAATTATGGCCGTTTTACACATAAAATTCCTTATTTTTTAATGAAAACATGATGAAAAACATACAATTTTTTGTAAATTTTTGTGTAAACTACACATGTTTCAAATTGATATCTCTAAATTGAAGATTTGTCCTTCTTCAGTGCAGTGTTTTTCCTACATGTTCAGCTCAGTATGTACTTGGAATTTGCTTAGGTGACTTGGTATGTTAAAGATGCATTATGTAACTTTTGGGCTGGAGGCCTGTCACTGTTGCTGCTCTTTCTTAAAATTACAGGTGGTTTTATTATAACAGCTCTTTGAGAATATTACTGGAAGTGCTGAGATTCTCTAGCGCCAGTGAAATGTTTGTAAATTGTGTTGTATTTATTAATTTTTGTTTAGAGCCGTGAATCTGAGCAATCAAATCATAGAAGCTCTAGCGTGTCCTGTGAGGAGCTCTGTCAGATTCACCACTGGCGCTCTTGACTGTAAACATTATCACATGCACTGGATTTAACTTTTATTCTTACTATTTTCTTTCTTTTTACTACTATTGACCAGATATTACGTGTTCTTAATAAAGATTGAATTGAATTATCACTCAAAACTTGGTCCGGTTTGGTCTCCATGAAGATAGAAAGGTTTAAACCAGGGGTGTCAAACATACGGCCCGGGGGCCAGATCCGGCCCTCCAAGACCTTTAATCTGGCCCTCGGCTGATTTTCTACTAAAATATTTTAATTATATTTTCTATTAAAATCTTGTTAATTTTCTGCGGTGTTTATCACAGCAGCGTCTCCAGCGTCTCTGTACGTGGCCCCTCCCACCAGAGCAGCACAAATGAAGACTTGTCTCTTTCCAAACGCTCTTAAAGGACGATCGTTTTGACTGTTGACCGTGACACCCTCATCAGAAAAATGTCCAACATGAGAAAAGTGGAGCCGAGTGCAGGATTTTCAAAGAAAAACTGACTTATTCCTATGAACATACAAGTTCATGTTAAAACACCGTGTTGAAATTGTATTTTTCTTAAAGTTTCAGGTTGTTCATAATATTATAATATTTTGTAAAAGAAAGAGTTCATCAGTTAAAAAAGATTTTTGTAATAGATTTGTGTTTCTCTGCACAAATATTTGAACTTATTGCTATTTTTGGGGTTTATATGACATGAGTTTTCTGATCCGGCCCCTTTGGGATCAAAGTCGGTTGGATACGGCCCCCGGACCAAAATGAGTTTGACACCCCTGGTTTAAACCGTACTGTGTAAGATCCCAGACTAAACAATAACATCGTATGACGGACCTTCCACCAGAAAAGCTCCACAAGTTACACCTTTAAGTTTGATTCCGTACCAGACTATCCCCAAACCCACACGTATTCCCGTTTGTTTACAGTTCAAAAGCCGGACTCTGTAAGGTCAGCCCAGCCTCTCTCCTGTATCTGGGACCCGTCACCTACCTGCAGTACACTGGATTATTGCATTAGCGCTGTTTCTTTTCCACCAACCAGACCCCGGCTTAACCAAACAAATTAGCGTGCGCTTTCCCTCAGATGTGCGGGGCCCGGTGTCCGTGCTAAGTGCATCCTGCTGCAGGCCTGACGCTGATGGAAAAGCTCAAAGCAAACACGACTCAGACCCCCTTCCTGGTTCTCTCAGCGGCGGGACACTCTCCTCTGATTGGTGGAGGAGTTGGCCGACTGCCCATCGGTCGGTCGTATAAAACCCGGGTCCAGCTGGGAGCGGGCTCAGAAAGCTAACGGAGGACTCAAGAGAAAAGAACTACACGAAACTTTAAGAGAACTACAAGAGGAAGCACAACGAAAGCAAGATGTGTAAAGGATTAGCTGCGCTGCCACAGTCGTGTATCGAGAGGTGAGTGCTGCTTCTGTTGTGCAAATGCTCAAGATTGTGTCATTTTCATAGAGATAGTTCTAAAAATGAAAATACAAGATGCTGCAAAACTGGGATTGCAAAGTTTTGGAAAGATTTTGTAAGTTTGTGAAAGTTATAAGAAACATACTTGCTGATAATTGTGACTCAGTGTAATGTTTGAAAAGGAAATATTGGAAAAGAAAAGTTGTAAGGTATTTACTTGAACTGTTTGAACCAAGCTCCAGTTGAAGGTAAAATCAAATAAAATTAAGGCTCTGTCATCAAAAGTGGATTGAAAACTTTTACAGAATAGTATTTTTAAGTGAAATGGACGTTTGGTTCAAGGCACTGCAAGAGAAAAGGATAAGGAACAATGTGTTTTACAGATATCAGAATGACTGGTTGGGGTTTTTTTGTGAAAAAAACAAACAAAAAAAAAACCAAAGAAATTTTTATTTTACATATTTTCACATGCTCAAACCAAATTAAGGCCTTGTGTTTATAAAAATGTTCAGGTTTTGCTTGCATTTTGAGTGCATTAATGGACAGAGACGCGTAAAAGTCTTGGTAAATGTTGTTGGTTTATTAAATTAAAACATTTTAGTAAATTCAGTGTTGCTAGAAAAAATGTCAAATGCTGTCAAATGCAAAAAACATCACATTTATATATATATTTTTTATTAGTAATCTATGTGTAATTAAAGCCTGAACGTATTTATTTATGTAGAAAAGGGACAGCACATATTAATAATGTACTTATTATGTGTAAAAAAAAAAGAAAAAAGCTGATTTTAGCCACAGTTTTGTTTCTATCTTTTATTTCTGGACACACTGATGGGAACAATAAGTCACATTTAACGAATTCATTATGGAATTAAGTAGGGATGTAACAATAACCGAAATTTTGTGATATCATATCGTCAAATGTCCCACAAAAATACCTTGGGTATTACACAATATATTGAATTACAAGTCTCTTTGCTTAAATGCATGGTTTTATAGTAGCAACAGCTTATGAACATAGGGAACTACATATCCCATGATTCATTTCAGCGCAGACAACATGAAGAAACATGTTTTTTACTTGAATTCTTGAGATTATGACAGAAATAGTTCACACCAAAATCTTGTCAAGGTATTTTAAAAGCAGAAACGTGTCCTATCTACAATTATATAAGCCTCTCCAAAATATCGGAATAAATATCGTACCGTGAGATGCAGTATCGTGACGTTTTGATATCGTTACATCCCTAGAATTAAGGCTTTGATTACATAAATATAGAATTTGTAAAAACCCTTGACATATTGTTCGATAGATGCGTGTAGAAGTACTTAATTTGAAGATTTTTGGGTCAAAACGGCCTCTGAAATTACACATTTAGAGTCCATGTATATATCTATAGATGTAAAAACAGTAAAACATTGTTCGATAGTTCAGAATTGGGCAGTTCGTAGCAAAAGAACTAACTGATCCAAAGCACGAACACTGTCTCAGTTCTTCTTCTCAGCGCAATGATTAGATTATACTTTATCTCCCTTACATGAAAACAACTTGAAGTGCTGTTGCTTGTACTCGTAGTGAAATACCAAAGAAGAGCAGAGGTGGGTTGAGTCTGAGTAAGTGCGGTGTTATCTGAATGGACTAGTGCTCCTGTGATAAGATATACCTCCCATTCCCCGCGGTTAGAGACAAGAAACTGCACTGAACAAACTGTCTCAAAGAGCGCAGATCTTTGAAACCTGGGAAAATACGAGGGGCTTTGAAGCTGCTGAAGTTAAACTGCATTCCACACCGGCGGGTCACCTGTGGGTCAAAACGGTGCAGATAAGCGCCAGGGTGCACGTGCCAGATACCTGCTTCTGTGAGAATGTTGTGGGTGCATTGTGTAACTTTTCTGGTGGAGGATCCGTCAAATGCTTTTCCCTATAGAGATGTTTTTGCTTTGTCTAGAATGTTTCACAGTATGGCATTAAAGCTTTCTATCTTCACGGAGAACAAACTAAACCAAGTTACAGGTCAGATCTGAGGAGAGGCGACCCCGCTCACAGTCAGAATCAGTTTTTCTAGGTATTTTTGAGTTGTAAAACCACTTGTAATTGAATAAATGTGAAGTAGAGCTGTTTAATGTCATACTGTGGAACATTCCAGGCAGAGCAATGACATAGAAACAAGCAAGTAATGGACCCACAACCAAAAAATTACTTAGTGCGCCTTTAAAGGACTGTATGGAGTGAAGTAAAAACCCACACAAATCAGGAGTACTTTCTTATTTAGAGGTTCTATGTTACACAAAACTGATTCTTGTGAGCTTTAAGCATGTTTATTTAATAAAATTTTATTTTATTTTAGTTTTTATGAATCAATTAATTAATTAATTTATATTATATTATAATTATTTTTAATTATTTATTTGAGCAAGGAAATACAAAATCAACACTAAAAAAAAAAAAAAAAAAAAGATATATAGGTAGATATAGATATGTACATGTATATATTTGGAACCTGGTGCTCAAAAGGAGTAGGATGAAATAAAAAAAATAATAAAATAAATAATAATAATTAAAAAAAAAAAGTATTGTCCTACCCCAATTGTTTTACATAATCAAATGGTTGAAACATTTTTATTTTTTTATTTTTTTATTTGGAGTGCTTACCTGATATACAGTACGTACACGCAGAAATATATCTTCGTTTATGGTCGTACAAACTAACAATAATTATAAAGAAGGCACAAAGTTTATCGTCAATGATCGTACAAAAATAAACAATGAGAATGTAAAATTAATGTTAGAATGTTGTTACCTCCTCAAAAACAGACCTGGATTTGTGTTTTGTTTCATTCACGTATGTTTGAGTAATCCTGCATTATTAGTCTGTCTACATCTCCAAAGCTCAAAATGTTCTATTCCACCTTGCGATGTCATGAAGTGTGAGTTTTCAACATAACAGCTGCATTTTATCATCAGTTCAGTAGAGCAGTGTTTCCCAAAGACAGGGTCGTGACCCTCAGGTGGGTTGCAAGAGATTTTTTTTGGGGTCGCCATGTCACGATCTGCATTCTGTTCCAATATTGCTGGTTCAATTGAATGTTGAAAAGAAAAAGAAAGGGGCTACATTTAATGCTCAAGTAGTCGACTTATGGATTCTTTTATTGCTGCTTCAATGACTGTTTTTCATTGTTTAAAACTTGAGTCATACTAATTGTTCAGAGAAACACAATCACTCAGTCAACAATAAAATATCTAAAATAAAATCTGAGAGCAATTTAGTAAAAGTAGTTCTTAAAGCTGCACTGTGTAACTTTTTGGTCGGGGGCCCATCACCTGCTTGTTTCTGTGAATACTGTTTGTCATTGTTCTGCCTGGAATGTTCCACAGTGTGACATTAAACAGCTCTACCTTACATTTATTCAGTTACAGGTGGTTTTATAGCTCAAAATACCTAGAAAAACAGACATTCTGACTCTGAGCAGGGTCGTCTCTCCTCAGATCTGTAACTTGGTCTGGTTTGGTTGAGATGAATATAGAAATGTTTAATGCCATATTGTGAAACAATCCAGACAAAGCAATAACATCTCCATGGAGACAAGCATTTGATGGACGCAATGCACCTATAACCACTAAATGCATTGTGTTGTGTTGAAGTAGATGGTAAATTCAATTGAGATTATTAATTTGAGTACAGCAAAAAATAAATAAATAAATAGAAATTTGGGTATGTTGCAAATTTTTTGACAACTAGAAACAAATGCTTGCCAAAGGTTCCTAGATAGATCTTGCAAATGCACTAAGCGGCACTGGGGGAACGCTGCTGATGTCTCGGCTTATATCTTGATCCAAACGGTTTGTTGCGTATTTGTGATGGTCGGCGTTAAGGGGTTAAAGTTCTTTAGATTGCAATATTTGTTCACTTCAAACTTGGTGGTGATAAGACACGATTATGGACTGACCAACGAACTAATCACCACATTTGTAATTCGATGGACAAAGACACTTACAACTGAGCTAACTGTCACTCTGTTACTACAAGAAATACATTTTTAAAGGTCCTATATCACGCAAACTTGACTCTTGTGAGTGTTAAGCCATGGTATAATGTTGTTACCTCCTCAAAAACATACCTGGAGATGTGTTTTGTTTCATTCACACATGTTTAAGTAACCCTTTATTATTAGTCTGTTTACATCTCCAGAGCTCAACATGCTCTGTTCCACCTTGTGATGTCATGAAGCTGTAGTTTTCAAGTTAACATCTACCTTTTTATCTTTAGTTTAGTAGAGAATGCATATACCAGAGCTGGAATTATTCAAATGATTCCAACGAAGGTATACGGAGTTTAAAGTGTCAGTGAAGCACTTTCTGTATTACCACATGACATCACAAGATGGAACTAAGTGTTTCCAGTTTGAGAGAAAAACTCCTAAATTTGTAGGATTTGTGTGTTAAAAATGGGTGAATGAAACAAAACACAACTCCCAATATGTTTTTCATGAGTTAAAATTTGAAACATAGATCAGAAACTTACGTAATAATGGGCCCTTTAAGTGGTTTTTACTAGAAAACAGAGGACATTTATAAATACACTGAAACTAAAAATATTGTGGGCTTTTATGGTTTGTTGTCCCTCTTACTGACACTATTGATGCTTTGTGTTTGTCCCAGGGCTAAGGAGATCAAGTCCAAACTGGGCGTGTTCCTGCAGAAGCCGGACAACGCCATCGACCTGATCATCCCCTACCCAGAGAAGAATGAGAAGAAACCCGAGAAAGTCCACAAGTGAGTCAACAAACTACTGTACGCTCTATGTCTGGTCTGTCCAAAAACAGAAAGTGAGGTAATGAGATAATGTCACAAAGTTAAAATGACATAAATTATCAACATTATTATGAACAACACTTTATTTGAGAAGATTCAAGTTGAGAAGAAAACTTATCTATCAATGGGACAAGCGTGTTTTTCTTAATTCAAGCAAGATTACATTTTCTCGCAAAAGTTGTTGTTTTTCTTAGCTATGTAACTTTTTGGTTGGGGGTCGGTCACCTGCTTTTTTTCTAAGGATATGTCATTGCTCTACCTGGAATGTTTCACAGTATGACATTAAAGAGCTCTACCTTACATGTATGGCTCAAAAAACCTAAAACAGACTGACTATTCTCCACGCATCTGACCTGTAACTTGGGCCCAATCCACACTAGTACGTATTTGAGTAATTTTCGTTGTGTATGCAGTGTTCGTCCACATTAATCCGATGAAAAACGGTTCCAGAGACAGAACGATCTGGTGCCGCCAGCTCCCACGAATTCATCTGAGCACAGATCTGATCCGGCACTGTGTGGAAGCCTGAAAATGCTGATACACTGACATACGTCTATGCACCGCAAAGTAATTCTAAGAGTAAATCTAATGCTAAGAAGCTAGAATATATGTCCATTCATATATACGGTCTATGTTTATGACCTGCAGACGTATAATCTCTGAAAAGTTTCACATGAACCATCTCCAACGCGATAGAAGCACAGAACAGACTCACCATCAGCAGAACATCCTCTGTCACAGAAAGAACAGTCATATTCCACAGAGTCGTGTCCTTTAGTCCAACAGAAGCTGAACCGCATCAACGCACAATAGCGAGCTGTTTTTGGAGCACTCAGTTTATGCAATCATAAGTCAGTGCTAGTGCAGCCTCTACAGCTCAGGGAGGAAATTCTGGAGGTTCTGATCGTTCACATGAGGCCTGTCCATATACTGAGAATGAGACAAACTTGGATGTGTCCTCCATCTGCAGGTTAAGGCTCTGGAAACCCATGTGAATGTAGCACCATTTTATAAACCGGTGACAGTGGAAGCTACAGAGCTATCCTTTAAATAATAGAGGAGTTTTTGTAACATATCACAGCAATTTTAACCACACAAGGAGAGAATGTAGCAAAATGTTTAGTTTTTTTTTCTTCTCAAAGTGTTAAAGATGCATTATGCAACTTTTCAGGTAGAGGGTCTGCCACCTATGTGTCTCCATGGAGATGTTACTTTGCTTTACCTGGAGTGATCCACAGTACAGCATTAAACTTATCTGTCTTACATTTAGTAAATCACAGGTATATTTATTGCTCAAAAATGCCTTATAAACACACTTTCTCATTGCCAACGTAGTCGCCTTTCCACAAATCTGACCTGTAACTTAGCCTTGTAGCGTCGATTTCTTCTTAGGAAATGGATATGTTTAATAGCATGTTGTCAAAAATTCAAAGCCGTGGGAAACAAGCAGTTCCACCCGAAAAATTACACAGTGCACCTTTAAACTTAACGGTGCTCTATGTAACTTTTCTTATGGGTGGTCCATTACATTCCTGTATTTTGGATGACTCCACGTTTTAGGGTTAGCTGCAGTCAGTTTTGTTGTAAATTTATCTGGATTACATAACATCAGCACAATTACATCGTTATCCTCCTAGGACCTGGCGTCCACATATGTGCGCATATATGTCCAACACAATTTAGGTCGTTCAGACATCTAATAAATCACTTTTGGAAATCATTATTCAATTGTGACTTTATTGTGTTACATCAAAATGATTAAAATGAAAATGGTTTTTGCACTCATCAGATCCCAATCAGACCAAATAACAAAGAGAAATCAATAAAGACGTGCAAGAGTTCGGGTCCTGGGAGGTGCACTGTGTAACTTTTTGGTTGGGGGTCTGTCATCTGCTTGTTTCTATGTCACTGCTCAGCCTGAAATGTTCCACAGTATGACATTAAACAGCTCTACTTTGCAGTTATTCAATTGCAAGTGATTTTATAGCTCAAAAATACCTAGAAAAACAGGCATTTTCTCCTGTAACTTGGTTTGGTTTGGTCTCCACAAAGATAGAAAGGTTTAATACTGTACTTTGAATCCTTCCAGACAAAGCAATAACATCTCCATGGACAATAGAATTTGACAGACCCTCCACCAGAAAAGTTACAAAATACGCCTTTAAAAATGCACTATGCACCTTTTCTGATGGGTGGTCCATTACGTTCTTGTATTTTGGATCCACGCTGTAGTCAATTTTGTGGTTAAATTATCTGGATTACATAATAACACCAGCACAATGACATCTTAATAAGGATTTGAAAGTTAAACTTGCACTTAAAATTAAGATAATTCCTCTCTGACTCAACTGATACCAGACACTCCACACACGGATCTCCGGATTTGTTTTGGAACGGGTCCTACGAAAATTCTGAACGCGATAAATCTCCCGTGTTAGTTTTATTGTGTTTTGAAACTAAATATTATGCCGTTGGTGTTGAAAAGGCTCGAAATGACCCGAGCAGTGACAGGTTTTCACAATGAGCTCACGTAAACAGTGGAAAGCAGAAGTAGCGTCACTGGGTGCTAAAAGAGACTAGCGCTTGTAAAAATGTCACAATGGTGTTATGAAGTGTAGTTTCAAAACAGAGAGATGAGTTTATGTGAGCGCTATCTCTCTGAGTCATAAAACGTAATTATATTGGGAGTTTAAAAAGACTTATGAAAGAGGTTGTTTTTCTTAGCTAAATTGTATAACTGGGCCTTTTGGAATCATTTGTAGTAATAAAAACATTCTTATTAAATGAGTTTGAGATCCGTTTTAAAGTTGTGATAATAGTGGGTGGCCTTTTGGGATGAATCGATTCCATGGGAGAGGTTTTGAACTTAGAATAATGGCTATATTCAGACAAAAGGCTCTGTTCACGTTTACGTCACAAACCAGGAAGACGTCTGGAAAGATTATAATTTGTAAATTGTAATTGTTGATTAGCCGAACATAACTGAACGCTACAGTGACATGCAGATGAACCTAGATTTCCTTCCTAGATTTTGCCAGACTTTCTACCGCGAACAGAGCCCGCCGGAAGTTGTAATTGCATCTTTCCAAACATCTTCCTGGTTTGTGACGTAATGTGAATAGAGCCCGTACCTTGTCTTGGCACCTTATTTCTATAAATGTGCTCCTTATACTGAGATCTGGGGTTAGGACGCCATCTATTGGAAGCAGAGGGAACCACTTTTGAAAAATCACCAAAAAACTAGGGTTAAAAACTTTTTCCAGGATACTATAACAGCAGCACGCACATTTTGATGGAAGGAGTCATCAGATTTTTATTTAAGGACTTCTAAATTTAACTGTGGTGTAACAATCCTGGGAAATTGAAAAGTGCACTTTTTTAAGTGCTTAGTGAAAAACGACTATAAATTCATCAGACAAGTGTGTTAAAAAAAAATATAAGACATGTTTTTGATGAGGGAACAATGTTACAACATGGTTAAAGGTAGCCTCATTCATCAGCCGGTTTCACTTCGTGGAAATTGTCTGACCTCGCAGCATTAAGGTTCGTTCGCTCGACAACAGGCGGGCACTTATTTATTTAACCACTTGCTGCTATTTGGTCAAGACATATGTAATGCGCTGGAACACTGCGGTCTACAACTTCTGGGGTTCTTGCAAACCGTCTAGTCTATTTTGATTCCTGACCTAGTCGCTGGAGAGAAATGAAATTGAGCAGAGGCACTAGGTGGCACCAGCCTGACTAGGTTAAAGGTCCTATATTATGTAAAATTGACTCATGAGCTTTAAGTCATGTTCAAAAGTTGGTGTTACCTAATCAAAAACATTCCTGGAGTTGTGTTTTGTTTCATTCACACATGTTGAGTAACCCCATATCATATTAGTCTGTAATATGTATATGCGTAATATGGGCTTTAGGGGATAGCCTGTGGTGTGTGGACACAAAAAAAGTAATTTACAATGATCAAAACTCGTACCTCCAGGCCAAGACGCTCGTGATGGTGATGGTGAAGAGTAGAACAGAACATTATGGTGTTCAAGTATAAGTTTTAACTCCATGGAGACAATCAGGATGCAAAAAACAAAATCTAGTCAAGTTAAGATGACTTGAATTAAGAAAGTTTTATCATAATTTCAGTACATTTCATTTGAAAAGTAAAATTATCTGCCAGTGGAATAAGACTTTTTGTACTTAAAATACATCTTGGTACACTTAAAATAAGAACTTTTTGCACTTAAAATAAGAAACAAAATCAAATGCTGCTTGAATTAAGAAAAACACACTTGTTCCTTTGGTAGATAATTTTACTTGTCAAGTTGAATCTACCCAAATAAAGTAAAATGTTCTTAATTTAAGTCATTTTAACTTTCGTAGATATTGATTTTTTCCAATGAAGTTACAGATCTGATTGTTGGAGAGGTGAATACATATTTGTAATTTGTATTTTCAAGAAACAAAGACACCTGTAATTGAATAAATGTGAGATAGACAGGTCTAATGCCATACTGTGGAACATTCCAGCAGTAACCACGGAGACAAGCAGGTCCATTTACATCAACACAACAATGTAATTTAACATTTAAGAGCACTAAACATGATTTTTAGTGTCTTCAAAATGTAAAAAATACAAGTTTGCAGAGGTCCAACAACAATCAAGTTAATTCTAACAAGAACTAGTATGCTAACAGCGCACTTTCTGATTATCTGAGGAAAAAACGCTTTGTTATTAGATGCAGACAGTACAAAGCAGTCTCTTTTCTACCTTAAGAGCTGCTTCTACAATATATCTCTACTGCAGTATTCCAAATTTTGCACAACTAAACATAAAAAAGACGTACTGCCACTTTAATTTTAATAGCCCGCAGTTCCCGCTTTAATTATTTTCTCCTATCAGCTCAAACTAAATTACGGATTTGTCGTACATGCTTTTACTTAAAAATCTTGAGTTGATCTTAATTAACTTTTGGCAGGTTTGGCCCAGTCTTTATGATAAGGTTTTTCATTAAAATATATGAGAGAGACGGGAGGACAGCAGCGCTCCTCTGATCCCCTCCGCTGATTCTGGAGAAGGTTATACCCAGTCCTGTGTGGCTCTTCACCTTCAAACAGATAAAAATGTGACATCTCTTTTATTTTGCTTCTCGTCTAATTTGGAGTCTTGGGTTTTGAGAATAAAACAAACTCCCACGCACATACAGATTTATTTTGCAGTTACAAGTGCGTATTGTTAGTAGAGATGTTCGAAGTTGGGGCTGTGGTACTTAATCTCCCTTACCCCCAGTGTTTGTGTACACCGGTGTTTGCTGAATACATGCATCCTGAATCTCGGACTTCCGGTCATCGCGCAATGCATACTGAGAAGGGTCCTCCTAAAAATTGAGAATCAAACCGCCATGTTTGTTTTCCCAGTCTATTGTCAAAGCCGATCTTTTTAAGTCTTTTGAACCATATCACTTTTGTTTCTGGTTCTGATATTGTCATATTTTAGTTTTGGGATTTGAACATTGTAATTATGTGGTTGTTAGATGTCCTAACAGCGGAAAACAGGCTTCGGAAGTTTTCCATAACTGCAAAAGGGAATCAGATCTGTGTGAAAGCAAACCTCTGTTCAAACTGTTTCCGTTCCCAATGGAATAGAAAAATAGTGATACAAAATGTTCGCTGCAAACTCGGGATTGATTTCTTAGGCAGCCAAAGGTTACATTTGTCGTCCTTTCTGTGTATCAGTTCTGCCCATTGCCTTTCACCTTTCACTATTTTTCAGTTCCATTGGGAAAGGAAACAGTGTGAATAGAGGTTTGCAGTCACACAGATCTGATTCCCCTTTTGCAGTCATGGAAAACTTCCGATGCCTGTTTTCCGTTGTTAGAACATCCAACAACCAGAAACACCAGAAACAAAAGCGACATGGTTCAAAAGACTTGAAAAGATCAGCTTTGACAATAGACGCGTCCCACTGGGAAATCAAACATGGCGGTTTGATGCTCACTTTTTCGGAAGACACTTCCCAGTATGCATTGCATGTTGACCAGAAGTCCGAAATTCGGGATGCATGTATGGGTGAGGGTTCCTTGATGCAAAGGTTGAGCTGTGTCAGAAATCAAAAAATGAACAGGTTGTAGGGGTGAGACGAGACACAAATTTTCACGAGATGAGACACACCACGAGATTACGTCCACGAGAACGAGACAAGACGAGAGTTTGACCTAATTTGTAAATAAGGCAATCCATTTCAAAATTCTGGCTTCACAATTTTTATTTATTTTATGTAACATTTTAGTGGTCATTGCACTACTGCTGTTTGGAACTACAGCTTCTTAAACTGTAAAACTCACCAGCTCTTAACTCTTTTTTGTCTAAGGTAAAAGTAAATTCAGGTAGAAAATTTTTTTCTCCCTGATAATTTTTCTCCTGTGTGCACTATCTTATGGCAATTTTGTCTCGCAAGATCTTATGGCACGAGATCTTGTCCCATCTCTAATAGACTGCGATCTAAACTTTGGTCGATCACGATGATAAGACCAACGCATTTCAATCAGTAGGTCTATATGCAGTGCCCTAAAAAATTTAATGCAATATTTCAGTTATAAAATTCATATTTAATTTCAATAGCTCAAAAAAAACATTGTATTTACATTTTATCATTTCATTGCTCCTATGTAATAACAGGATCTTTACTTTACTGTTACTTTAAGAATGTGAGACTCAAAGGCTGATGGGGAAAGCGCATTGATTTGTTGTTGTTGTTGTAAAGAGGCAGAAAAATGAAAAATACCATCATGTGGCAGTGAGAGCGCGTGGTGCTGAAGAAGAGTCGCACTCTTTTGTTGAGGTGAAAGCTCTGAGTCAGAGATATAGTTTCTTTCTCTTCATGTTTCCCAAGTTTTGACTCAAATCTGCACAATTGAACTAAAAATTCAGTCTTCTTGTGTAGTGATGCATTGGATCTAAAAACTGCAAAAAGAATTTCAGCGGAAGTGATGTATTCACATTTCTTGGTAGTGATAATCCTCTGTACCACAGTGCCCTGAGCTGACTGACAAACCAATGACTCACTGCCATATCCAAGGACAAAGCAGCAACATGTGCCCGTCACAGAGGGGATCAAACCAGCAAGCTTTAGATCTGTGCGTGATTGCTCTAGCCACTGAGCTGAGCCAGCCACTGAGGTTAAGGGTAGGAATTTGGCTCTCTACATGAAAGAAAATCAGCTGTTTGCTATTGTGAAATGCCAATTTGAAGAGATGGAGACGCAATCTGAGAAACACTGTTGCGGTTTTGAACAGGAAATCAATTACAGAGGGATATTTTACTTCTGTGGGGTATTCAGGGCTAACACATAACACATTTAGATCACCATGTTATCTGTTGGTTTGAAAATGCTACATTCATCGAACAAAAAAGCTGAATTAGTTTCCACTCAGTTTAAATTTGGACACTCCGGTTACATAGGTCTGTGCGTAAGGTTTGGATAGGAAAAGAGAAAAGGTTTGAATAGTTCCTCTGAGAGACGTCAAGATCACTCAGACACGCACAGATGATTCAGAAAACCTCTTCAAGGATGTTTCTGATGAGGGAACAACATTATAACACGGCAGAAAGCTCCATGAAGCTGATTTAGCTTAACACCCCTTCTTTAAATGAGATAACAAAGACCTTTAAGAGGTAGCAGTTTCTTTTTATAGTAGCTGACGTGTACTATGTGTATTTTATGGGTTAATTTTCCGGTCACTGCAATCACAACCACAATAGTGCGAAATGGTCGAATTTGTGGAAAACTATTTCTGGTTCTTAGGATTGGATCTTCGGAACCGTGCCCAGTGCTCAGTCATTTTACCCAAGAGGTATTACCAACACTACAGACGCGGTGAAGTCTGGCAGGTCCGGACTCAAGACCGTTTTAGAGGAAAGTCAAAATAGACTTTTGTTTTGAGGAATAGATAGTTTTAAAACATTCCTGGTCTGAACAAAGGTGAAATCCATTGATTCATTATTGATACAGACTGAAGAGCAGTTTGATGATCTGGAAGTAAACCATGCCAGAAACAGGTCTAAACCAGGCTTAGACCAGGTTCAAACTGAGACTTTATTAAGACTAACCCAGGTCTATCGAGATAAACGTCCTATAGTATGCAAAATTGACTCTTTTGAGGTTTAAGTCATGTTATGTCTTTGCCCCATCAAAAATATACCTGGAGTTGTGTTTTATTTCATGGTCAAAAACAACTAAATCAAAGTGTGTCCCTACAGTTTCAAGTAATTGGTGACATCACACAGGACTACCCTGATTTCAGCAACGTGTTAGACTCCATACAGCTTCACTAGAATCATTTAGGTGACTTTTGATGATGAACTGCCAATCTCTACTAAACAAAAATTAAACTGTAGCTGTAGTAACATGACATCACAAGGTGGAACAGAGCATTTTGAGGTTTGGAGATGCAAGCAGACTAATAATAAAGGGTTACTCAAACGTGTGAATGAAAAAAAAACACAACTCCAGTTATTTTTTTGATAAGGTAACAGCATTATAACATGATTTTTTTAGGTAGTATCGGACCTTTTAAATAACACTGTTTACCCAAATTAACTCTTCCTGTGTTCTAGGCACGTGCATATCGAATTCTGACGTAAATTGGGCTCTGACTCAAATTGGGGAAAGACAAGAACATAACAGACCCACAGAGTATTTTTTTCCACTGACGCACGTTGACCTCTGACCTCCTCTCTGCTTCCAGACCGAACCCGGAGGAGGTGGCCCAGTGGCGTGAGAGTCTGGACCTGGTTCTCAACAACAGCTGTACGTATCACTGCTTATAAAGATCTGCTCTGCTTCACTCTTGTATAGATATTAGATATGTGAAATCAACTTGTATGTGTTCTATAGTAGGGATGTGACAATAACAAAAAAATATTGTGATATCGTATAGTCAAAGTTCTCACAATAACATCGTGGACCATCACAATATATCGAATTACAAGTCTCTTTGCTTAAATTAACAGTTATGGTGCATCAATGGCTAAAAAAAGACAAAGGGAACTACATAGACCATGATCCTTTGCTCCATTTCAGTGTAGACTACAAGAAGAAGTAACAATTCTAAGCACTTTTAAGTCTTAGCTCTTTGATTAAGTCTTGTCAAGGCATTTTAAGAGGAAAAAGAAGCATATTAACAAAATATCTCAATAAATATTGTCCCGTTAGATGTATATCAAGAAAATATTGCGTAAATATTGTAAGAGATTTGGATATTGTTACATCCTTAATTGTGAGCTTCCCCACCATATCGTGAGCTTTCCCACAATATCAGAATAAATATCTTACCGTGAGGCTGATACCGTGACTATATCGTATTGTGAGACTTGGATATCGTTACACCCCTACTGTATATTGTTCTTCATTAATAACGTTTACTGCAACCTCGTGAGCTTCATTTGACTGGAGCTGAACACTATGGATGACGTCAAACACCCTTAGTCCACTTCTTTGTACAGTCTGTGGTTATGTTTTTACACATTGCTTCCCAAACACTGGGTCACAACTTTCAGGTGGGTTGCGAGAGATTTTTTGGGATCGCCTTGTCACGATCTGCACGTAGGTCTGTAATATACAGTTCTGACACATGAGAGAGCTAGTGAGTCAGCGAATCCTATCTGCCTGCCCTCAAGGAGTGTTCCTGCAGCTGAAGTTGAGAAATGTTTGCTTGGTTGTCCAAAGAGAAAGGTAATAAATCAGCAAAGGTCAGTGCACTTTAGGCGACTTATGGATGGATTTTTATTGCTGCGTCAATGACTGTTTTCATTGTTTAAAACTTGAATAATACTAATTGTTCAGAGAGACATGATCGCTCAGTCAACAATAAAATATCCTCCTTAATGTTCAATAATGGTCAGATCCACCTTTATTTTGTGATTTAATGTCTATAATAACGTCTATTGACTTGGGTCGCGAAGGTTTGTGACTTTTAAAATATGGGTCCCCAGAAAAAAAAGTTTGGGAAACACTGATTTAACAAATAATACGCTATATAACCAAAACTAAAAATATACCAGAGGAAACACTTTGGCCACCTCCTGATTGAGAGAAATGTTTCACATACGGAAGAAGTGGTAACAGGCCCAGAAACCTGCTAGATTTAAATAAAAAAAGGTGTTCATGCTTCTTAGAAGTTTGTAAGAATTCTCTAGTGAGTGCATAGAAGATTACAGTGGAGTTTCTAGAACACATGCTGATCTTAGGTCTTGACCAGAGACTATATATATAAACTGAACTGAAACTCAACCTGCTCCCAGATCTAATTCAAAAACTGTTCTCCACAAATGAATACAACCTGAGAGGTCAAATGAATTTGAAAAACAATTCTCTCAAACCACTCTCAAAAGCATGTGTGTTAGCAGATGTGGAGTAGACTTATGGAATAGTTTAGATGACCATATCAAAGCTTGTACTAACTTGGTGCACTTCAAAAAACAATATAAAAGTCAAATCTTACAGAAATACAACTAAGACTAGCTACATTGTCTTCACAAGTAAACCATGACTATTAACTAAACACAAGCTTTTCTTTAACGTTACCTTTTCTTTTGACAATATAATCGAAAAACTTAACACAGTTCGTACACAAAGTAATTCAAAGTGCAAATGGGTGGTCACACTCCCTAAGTGCACTACTTTATACAGCCTAGGGTTATGTTTTGATAATTAATACGCAATATAACCAGAGGAAACACCTTGGCCTCCTCCTGATTGAGGGAAATGTTTCACATACAGAAGAAGTGAAAACAGGCCCTTAAACCTGCTACATTTAAATAAGTAAAGGTGTTCATGCTTGTTAGTGTCTGTAAAAATTCTTAAGTGGATTTGTCCAACTCCATTCCATTTTCTTCCGCTTGTCCTTGGCCAGATAGAGGAGCTGCGACGCGGTTTGTACAACTCGCTCTACGCAAATGGACCTAACTAACCCGCTGGTCTGTGTTCCATTCATTCTTTTGAATTTAAATTAAGAACGAAAAACAATAAAATGGGAAAACAGTTTGTCATTTCATCTTTCTGTTATAATGTCAAACAAAAAAACTGATTTCGATCTCTATTTCCAAAATATTTTATCAGAAGTGCCTTTCGTTTAGACGATGACGGCGTTTTTGGGGTTTAAAAACGCAAAAATCTGAAACCATCCTCCAAAGTGGAAAAGTTGAATACACTCCGCTGTAGCGTTTACGTCTACACTGCCCAAGAAGCAAAACTCTGGTCAGATCTGCTCACGTTGCATACACGTTTATGTCACATACACGTTTACGTCACATACATCACCAACTGGCGTCACCACCTAGCCGCCTGGCATGCAGACCCAATCGAATTCCACACACTTTTGCGTCACCGTATGCACGCAGATTTCCTCTCGAAAACACTTGTCTAAACACGGAATAAAAAGTGAACATGCGACGCCACTTCTGTTCAGACTGTCATCATATAAACATAGCATAAGACGTGAAAGTAAACGCATCGCTATAAAAGAAGAGAACACTGCAGTTCCACAAAACTGCAACGATTTTTCAGGTAAGTCCTTCTAGCGGCAGAACTTCATATAAACCAGAAAGAATAAAATATCAAAACTGAAATAGGCATAGTAACTGTTTTTTGATTGGTGTCAACTTAGAAATAGAGGTTGATAAGTTTTTTAGTTTGACACTAAAACGGAATAATGAAATAAACTGTTTTTCCATTTTATTGTCTTTTGTTATTAATTGAAATTCAAAAGAACAAATGGCACATGGACCACATTCCACATAGACTTTGAAAAATAGTCACCCCTCTTGTAAGTTCTGCTATGAGCCTCTTCATTTTGGTCTTAAAATGTTCGTATTAACCCGCTCTACATGATCCTGGCGTTTAATTTCGCTATTTTGTCCGTAAATAAATTCCAATTCCTAATACAAGACTCCACATTTGCTCCTGTAACTGCAGCCTCGATGAGCTTCATTTGACTGGAGACTTCACACCACTTCTTTATACAGTCTATGGTCTGGACTCAGGTCTGGTCCAGAGTCTGACCTAGAATCTGGTCCGGTATTTGAACAGGAGCACATCCCGACCTGTCGTTTCCATGGAGACGGCGATATCCATTGCTCGTTTATTTTTCCCGTGTTTAATCCTGTCCCCTTAAATGGCACCTAAGAGAGAGAGAGAGAGATAGAGATGGTTTAAGTGCTGTTTGTCAAAAGTGTCCAAGCTGAAGATAGCCTTTTTCCAGTTTATAGTTCCAGTTTTTTCCAGTTTATTGTAAGCAGGTCATTTTTTTAACGGTGACCCAAATATGAGACACTTAGAATAATTATCTTGTTATATGAAATAGGGCCTAAGATGATTCATAATGAAATCAATTTGAATGATCCCAAATGGAAAATATACCAGATTTGAAAGTATAATTGGATACTAACTAATTGAAAAACACTGTATGCCTTGACGAACTCACTCTACACCCTAATTGTCCACGGCGTTAAAATGTCAAAGTGACCGTGGAGGACATAGTGTACGATGGAGCGTTCTGATATGGCCTGTTTTCCGTCCCTTGCCCCTGTGTTTGGACACGGCTCACAGTTTGTCACTGAAGTGAAGCGAGCAGCATCTAAACATGATCCAGAGAGATGTGAGCGACCGCACGGACACCACACACACACAGAGACACACACACATATACAGACATACACACAGAAACACGCACAGACACACACAGAGACGCACTTACACGCAAACACGTATGTTGGGTTTCTGTGTTTCTTGGAGACATTACATTGACTTGTCTCCTGGAGATTGATCTTAAAGGTCTTAAATTACGCAACATGGACTCTTGTAAACTTAAAATGTTGTTACGTCCTCAAAAACATATCCGGTGTTGTATTTTGTTTCATTCACAGATATCTGAGTAACTCAACTATTAGTCTGTCTCTCTTAAGACCAAAGTGCTCTCTTCCACCTTGTGATGACATGAGGTTAACAGCTCCTTTTACCTTTTATTTAGTAGAGATTAACAATTCCAGGTTCCAAATTATCCAAATGATTCTAGTGAAGGTGTCCATCCATCCATTTTCTTCCGCTTTATCTGGGGCCAGGTCGCGGGGGCAGCAGTCTAAGCAGCGACTCCCAGACTTTCCTTTCCATGCACATTTCCTTCAACTCCTCCAGGGGGATCCCAAGGTGTTCCCAAGCCAGCCGAGAGACATAGGCCCTTGAGTGTGTCCTGGGCTCCTCTTGACGTGAAAGAGCACTGGCTCTACTCCGAACTCCTCCCGTGTGACTGAGCTCCTCACCCTATTTCTAAGGAAGTGCACAGCCACCCTGCAGAGGAAACAAATTTCGACTGCTTCTATCCCTGATTTCGTCCTTTCGGTCATTACCCAAAGCTCATGACCAAAGGTGAGGGTAGGAACGTAGATTGAGCGGTAAATCAAGAGCTTTGCCTTTTGGTTCAGCTCCCTCTTCATGGTCCGATACAGGAGGGGTTCAAGTATCTCAGTTTCTAGTGAAGGTATACGGAGTTTAAAGACAACGTGGAACACTTCCTGTATAGCCACATGACATCAGAAGGTGGAACTTTGTGATTTAAGCATGTGTGAATGAAACATGAGGAAATGCCACTAGAACACAGAAGAGAAAATAGCTATAATAAGGGTGGGGCTATTACGCTTCTGTGGAGTAGTAACTGCTAACACATAACATATGTAGATCACCGTGTTATCTTATATTGTTTTGAAAATGTTATATTTGCCGAAAACAGTGTATTGAGACACACGCACACACAC